TTTTTTTGTGGGAAGGCAAACTACATCTTAAACTCTTCACCACCGCAGAGTCATGTACTCATTTATTTTGAGATTATAAAATGAGACTTAGAACAAATCTAACATGCAGTGTAAATGAAAACGAAAGGAATATTTGCGAATTGTGTCGGCCCTTTTCCAGTTAGACACGTCACGTCAGTTACAGTAAGTACAATAAGTCCAAGCCTTCTCTTCCTCCACAAGAAAACATCCTAACTTTCATCTTTCTCTCGTCGGTGCCGCCGCTGATCCGCCCCACCTCCGATTGCCTTTGCGCCATGGAGGTGCGCAGGATCTCAGCCCCTGCCGGCGGAAGGGACCCCATTCTTGTTCTTCCTTGGTTGAGGCTGTGTGGCGGCGGTGATGCCCCTTAGTAGGAATAATGTCTCCCTTGTTCTATCCCCTTTTCCTATGATGCGTCTAGTATCGTCGGAGAGCATGCGGAGATGTGTCTCCGTCGGATCTCACATGATTTGGTCGGTGCTGGTCTTCTGTGGATCTGTTTTGGATCCGTTCTTTGCTCATCTTGGTTTTGGTGTTTACAAGTTTGATGCTTTCGTTCAATGACTTTCTTCATCGGTGATGGTTGCCGCTCTGGTACGCTGGTCCTATGGGGACTTAGCACGATGACATTCCGATTGTCTACTAGAACAAGGTTTACCCAGCTCCAGCAAGGGATGGCGATGACGGCGGCACCTGTAGTCGTCGTTATGTGGTCCACAGACCTGGTTCTAATTTTCGTTACCTCTGGTATTCTTTGTACTACCATGATTGGAGATGAATAGATTGAAAGTTTGTTATTAAAAAAAGAGTAAGTACAATAAAATTATATAAAAAGGCTATAAGAATTTAAATATAATATTTTTGCTAAGTTGGACAAGAGAGAAGAGAAGCGAGCTGCAGGTGCAGCATGAACTCCAAGAAACTTTTTGAGAGAAGAAAGCGAGTCAAGCAGTGATAAAGTAGTAAATATCTATAGTTAACAATTATGTGAGTTGGCTTTTAGGTTGGCGGGCGGTGATAAAAAAATTGTATTGCATGACTGCGACATAACCTCATGCCTTTCAATCACCACACATCCTTGTTTTCAGAGGAGGGAGATGGTTCAAAGAAGAAGAAAAATATCATGCTCGTGTGATTTTGTTGAAAGTTTAATGAATCCGGTGCGGAAGAAAAATAGGAAGGAAGAGAGAGATATGCCCGGGCGATCAATATAAACTATGTAATGATCAGGTTGAGGTACGCAATGACCATCCGTTGTTGCGAGTGCTCTATTTAGGGCAGGTGTTGGAGATGCTCAATATTTGGTGCCGTAAAAATCACCTTTTGGTATCCCAAAATTTACTCCAAGCCCTTTTTTGTGCCTTATTATAGGTCAGCTGTGAAGATGCTTATATATACTATTACATAGTGTATCAATTTTGAATTGGACATGCATCTCGGTCTCCTATATCCAATGGCTGCAACATGTTTTATTGTTAATAGTTATTGCAGCTGCAGCAACGGTGTTGATCTCGAACCATTGTGTCACCCTTCCCATTAAAAATGCCATACTTGATACCTATTGGACCATGTAGTAGATAGACTGAAGATGTGGTGAGCCCAAGAAGATTCGGAGGAGGAGAATGGGGAGAAGAGTGGGCACTGCTTTGCCTCAGCCGCAACGTGACAGAAGGAGGTCTCTCCTTAGGAGGGCACCCCGCACAGTAGCTTTGTTCTCTGCTTGATCATTCATTTTTTTCTTCTTTGCTTCTTGTTCATTCATTTTCTATTTTTGCATTATTATTTACTTTTATTAATATTTCAAATTATTATATAGACATATATTTCAATACTTAATTGACTTCAAATTTGAAAAACCATTCACCCTGAATTTGGAAAAATGTTAACACAATGTAAATTGTTTGCGCTGTTTTACAGAAAAATTCATCCCATTAAACAATTTTTCGTGTGTTTGAAAAAAAATGTTCATAACATTTAACAAATACTGATGTAATTTAAAAATATATTTGTACCATTAAAAAATCCACACGTTTCTTAAATATGTTCATGACATATTTTTTTTAAATGTTAATACTCCTTCCGTTTCTTTTTAGTCTGCATATAACTTTTGTTTGAAGTCAAAGTATCTCAAAATTGACCAAACTTGAAGAAACAAGTATCAACATTTACAATGCCAAAGGAATATCTTTAGATTCATTATTGAATGTATTTTCATATTATGTATATTTGATATTTTAGATGTTGATAATTTTTTATACAAATTTGGTCAAAGTTTATAAAATTTGACTAGACAAAAATATTATATGCAGGAGTAAAAAGGAACAGAGGGAGTACAATGTAAAAAAATATGTTTGTGTAATTTTAGCAAAATGTTTGGCACCATTCAAAACATATTGTTGAACTTGTATATGAAAACATGTTTAACATATATTCAGAAAATATTTCATGACACTTGTTAAAATGTTTAAGTGCGAATACAATATTCGCGTAATTTTTAAAAATATTATAAAAAAAATAAAAATTTCAGATCATTGAAAAAAAGTGCACATATTTTAAAAATATTTTCATATTCTTTAAATGTTTGTACAATGTAAAACAATGTTCACATAATTTAAAAAATATTTAAGTACCATTAAAAAAAGTTTTCAACGTGTGTTTGGAAAATATTCAGCATTTAGTCAATAAACTAAAACTTTTATTTGAAAAAATGTTCATGATGTTGGAAAAATATTCAAAGTGTATAAAAAATATTCCATGTGTATACGCATGATGAATAACATGTATTTAAAAAGTATATGTGTATTTGAGACAAAGAAAAATGTAAAAAGCAATAAAGGAACACAGTAACTCGAAAAAAAAACTTAAAGAAAAGTGCAGAAATAGACCAAAAAAATCCTGAACCCTTCTCAATATAGGTGAAAACCAGTAAAAGGTTCCATGTTATTGGGCCAGCCCATCCTACCATGCGTTTGAGCCGAAACGGAGCTCTATCTCGGAAAGAGCGAGACATGACCCTCACGAAGAAGAAGAGAAAGTAAAGTAGTACATATTCGAATTCTTCTCTTTGTCATGAAAGTGGGCTTGCACACTTTAACAAAAAGTGGGCTTGCATATTAATTGCCACCTCAACAATACTTTTATTCTGCATCCTGATGTCCACAATAATTTTTTGCGTTGAATCTATTAGCATGTATTTTCTACCAAAATGAGTTCATTAATTTTAAGACGACATTGCACATGTATAAATACTAGTAGAATAGATCCACATTATATGTGTTTGATTCAAACCGTTAACTGTCTGCTAATTAAAAGTACATTCCACCATTTTTCTATTCACAGAATAAGATGTAGATGCCACAAAAGAAAAAAGCTAGGAGAAACAATGAGCAGGAGAGGTATAGAAGAAAAGAATTAAATCTTTCCAAATACTCCCTCCGTCCCACGTTTTTGCAAGCTACGTTAGCTCGCAAAAATGGCTTATATTGTGGGACGGAGGAAGTAGAAGATATTAATTTCTGCTCTCCGGCTCATGTTCTAAAATAAAAATTATTTGTTATGCTTTAAAAGAATCTGACTGCCTTTTACGTCTAGCAATAACCAGTTCAATTCACATGAGCGATCCGGCTCTGGCACCTAACGTAGATAGTCACGTGAAACCCTATTTGGCGCAGGTAGCACTGGTTACAGCTCTTCTCGTAGCGCACACCCCATGTAAACGTACGTGTGGTCAGCAGGCCGGCCCATGTATGAGCTCATAAAAGTTCCAGTTTTTTGAAATTTCTAGAATCTTCCAACTAGTTTTTTTTGTTTTTTTCCTCTTTTTCTTTTTTTGTTTTGTATTTTTAGTTTGTCTTTTAATTCATATTAAATTCCATGATTTTTTTTAAAGTTCACGATTTTTTTAAAACGACTTTTTTCAAAGTTTTAAATTTGTTTCAAATATGTTAACTTGTTTTTAAAAAAAATGCTTGATTTTTTCATAGATTAAAATAGCCCGCGAAATAGCCGAGATAGCTGCGCTATAGCTGCCTGGGAGCCTCGCCGCTACGCTATGGCTGCTGCCGCGAAAACCTCCACATATCCCTCTAAATGGCTTAAAATCAGCGAAACCCTCCAGAAATCATCTCATCCACCAGAAAATTTTCCGCTATTTGCCGCAATTGCCAGCTATGACGCCGCTATAGTTGCTGGGAGAGGCCGCCGCGAAATCATTTGTCCCGCGGTTTTAATCTATGATTTTTTTTCCAAATTCATGAACTATTTTTAGAATGCATGAACTTTTCTGAAAATTCACGAACATTTCTCATCCCCAACTTTTTAAAAATTTCATGAACTCTCTCCAAACCCATGAGGTCTATTCAAATGCTCGAACTTATGTCGACAAATAATGACAATACAAAATCCCTGTAGGAGGAAGACGACCATTTTGCATGGAACGGCGCTCTCACTCTCATGATGTAACATGTCGCATGCTAATAATAGGACACGGCAGGAGCACAAAGTAAAGGAACCAGTTAAAACGGAAGAGGAGCCTCCTTTGGCGCGAAAAAAGGAGCCCCCACCCTTGGCCACCACTAATCTCTTACCCGGGAACAAAACACCGCCGCTGTTCTTGATCCACCGACGACCATTCTCCGGTGGGAAATTTTCGGGGAGGTAATTAATGCTCATACTAGATTGGAAATCACCGGGTTATGATTCTTCCATTGCATCGTTGATCCAATTTATTTTCTTCGTGGATTGGAGGATCTAGCAAGATCCACACTGGCACATTGCCAGATTTTCCAAATCTTGATTGAATTAGTTCTTGATCGGATCAGCGATTCCGCATTATTTTAGTCCTTGATCGAATTCATTTTGTTTGGGGATTGGAGGATGTGTTGATCGATCCTATTCTGTTGTTGGGAATCCACGTCCATCCAGGTCATGATCTGCTGACCGCCCCCAAACCAACCCATCGTGTCCGGCCGGCGAGAACAATGTCTTGCTGCGGCAGCGCCGAGGAGGACACGTACGGCCCGCCGGCGAACCAAGCCGCTCCGCCGCCCAACGTCAACGCTCCCGGTATCAACTCATCGTCTCTTTTCACGGATCTTGGTGTGATCACAGACAGTTTTTTGATGAACGAAACGACGACTTTGGCGCATGCAGGCAACAGAGGCGGGCCGAGGGGGCCCGGCGCCGCGAGGCCCGGAGGGCCGCCCAAGGTGCTCACCATCGATGTGCCGGCGATCCCGCTAGACGAGCTCAACAAGATGACTAACAATTTCAGCGACAAGGCCCTCATCGGCGAGGGCTCCTACGGCCGCGTCTACAATGGTACCCTTAGCGACGGCCGCCCCGCCGTCATCAAGAAGCTCGATCCCAGCGCCTCAACGGAGTCCGACTCGGAATTCTCTGCTCAGGTGCGTGCCAATCATCCATCATCCTCTCATCTGAATATATATCCGATCGATGATGAATTGCCTTTGGATTCTTCCTTCTCATGAGTCATGATTGATCGATCTCATTGCCATAGCTAGCAATGGTCTCCAAGCTTAAGAACGAGTACTTCGTGGAACTCCTGGGCTATTGCATGGAGGATGGGAACCGCATGCTGGCCTATCAATTTGCAACCATGGGTTCTTTGCATAATATCTTGCACGGTGCGTCTACTCTACCACAATTCTAATTTTGATCTATATGCATATGTCAAGGTGACTGCTAAATTAACATACTGTAATTAACTGTAACTTACCGACCGATTCTTACCGGCCCGTGCAGGCAAGAAAGGAGTGCAGGGCGCTGAACCTGGGCCGGTGCTCAACTGGGCTCAGCGCGTGAAGATAGCTTACGGAGCGGCAAGGGGGCTAGAGTACCTACATGAAAAAGTCCAACCATCGATTGTTCATCGAGATATTCGGTCGAGTAACGTCCTAATATTCGACGAATTCAGCTCCAAGATTGCGGACTTCAACCTGACAAACCAGGGCACGGACACCGCTGCCCGGTTACATTCGACTCGTGTGCTAGGAACATTTGGATACCACGCACCAGAGTAAGACCGACCCTATGAATTCTTTTTCTTAATTCATACAGCATATTCTCTCAGTTTTGCTACCTTGCTCACATTTTGCTGTTTGGGATTTGGTAATATTCAGATATGCTATGACAGGGCAAATCAACCAAAAGAGTGACGTCTATAGCTTCGGCGTGATCCTACTAGAACTACTGACGGGAAGAAAACCGGTCGATCACACCATGCCGAAAGGGCAGCAAAGTCTTGTTACTTGGGTATCGTATTCAATAACCTTTGGATAAACTTATCGGTGTATTGTCATGCATGGTCTTACATATATGTGTTTCTTGATCCTCTGAGGCAGGCCACTCCAAGGTTGAGCGAAGATAAAGTAAAACAATGTGTTGATCCAAAGCTCAACAGTGACTACCCTCCAAAAGCCGTCGCCAAGGTATGGCACTGTAGTAAATCCGGCAAACTGTAAAATTTAACTGTACGTGTCTGTACCGAGGTTGTGTTTTCATGTCTTCAGCTAGCAGCAGTGGCAGCGCTGTGCGTGCAGTACGAATCCGACTTCAGACCGAACATGACGATCGTTGTGAAGGCGATTCAGCCCCTTCTCAACCAAAAACCGGCTGGACCAGCCGCCGAAGCACCGAGACCCTGATCGTTCAGCGCTAGGCGGCACAAAGAAGCTTCAACGAACTCTTGCATGGTTCCATGTGTTATATCTATAGATCATCTACTTGATTTGTTTAGGTCATGGGCTGACCACCTGTGGCGGTGCTAGGTTCAAAACCTTGTCATGTCAAAATTTTCTGACCGAAAATCGTGTAGACAAATTAAACAGGAGGAACAGAAAAGAATGTACTTTGTTATAGTAGCAGTCCTTTATATGGTTATGCAAACATTTGATATGAATGCAATATACATAGGTTTCAACATAAGTAACGAGACGAAGATACATGAGATCATTGCCTATTCTATTGCGCAAATCAGACTTGATATATTCCATTGTGCAAAATACCCTCACAATTGTTGCCGTAGTGTCCTGCAAAATCAACGCAAACTTCACCAAAAAATCACACACTAGAGTATACCTTTGTCTTAACTAGTTTTCTGCAAAGATCACTAACCCCTTTAGGCTTTACCATTTATCCAGTTGCTAAACTAAAGGGTGGACAAAAGAGTTATTGCTAAGAAAAGCGAGATATGCAATTCCTATTCTCAATAAAAACAATCTTTTACTTACTAATATTTCTCATGAGAGAAAAACATGGAAGAGAAGGAAAAGAGCAGTACTGGAAAATATGACCTACAAATAAAACGAGAAAGGCATAGGGCCTTGTCTGGGTGTTGGATTAGCTGCAGAGTGCCGACTAGTACAACATCATTTATCAGTTCAGGACGGAGGGATTTCTCTCCCCTCGAGATGCCCGCCTTTGCATCACCCGAGGTTGTCACTCTCTCCCTCCCCGAGTGAGTCACCGATGGCTCGCCATTCTCGGTTTGTTGCTGAGGAACTCCAGCCTGGAACATGGAGTCCTAGCCAAGATGGCCTCGGAATCCCTGCTCTAGCCCGCCAGTCTCCCACCGACGCCTCGTGCCTCCCCCCTACCCAGATATGGTTAGACCGGGATGGACAAGACCATGAGGAATGATCTTCTTCTCGACCCAACTGCAACCCTTGAGGTTGGGGTCGCGGAAGATGGAAGTTTTGCATGCCTAGTTCACTGCCGGTGGGGGCAGTCCATGTTCGCCAATCCTTGCTCAGGTCAGCGGCTGTCTGCCTGCGGCGGCGCCCTCTATGTGACCAACGCCACTCGGCAGCAGTATTATCCATCAGACAGTATACTGGCGGCACCAACCGGCTTCTTGATCTGCGGATTACGGTGGCCATCGAAGGGTCTTCGCGAGGATTCCTCTCTCTAGATCCACTAGCTGTTGTCGGCGCCTCGTACCGAAAAAGTTGCGGGATGCAGCCGAAAGGCTGCTTTGTGGGTTTTGGCGGCTCTTACTCTGGTCAGTTTCCTTAACTGATGAGATATAATCTATGGACGATGGTTTGAGACACACGGTATGATTGTACAACGATGGCGGTGGGATTCCTAGCCCATCACATGTAACTGCTGGGATCTCAGAAAAGTGCCGGCGACAACAGATGACTGATTTTGATTTGGTGGTGCTTATCGAGTACCCGGTCCCGAGCTCCGGGGTGAAACCCCTTGGTCCGACCTGAGTTGCTTATACATTGGTGATGTTTTTTGCATCGTTATCTTGTTGAAGACATTGCTCAGAAATGATCAAACTTGTTCTTTGGGGTGAAAACATATAATCTGGCTTTGGTGGTTGGATGCGGTGACGCTGGATCTAGAGCGTTATTCCCTTCATTAAGGCATTGTTATTGAAGAACCTCATTGTCCTTGTGGTGTCAAGAGATGGTCGCGGATATGGTTGTTGCTATCGTTTGTCGATCCCTGTTTTGATAGCTTCGGGTTTGTTTTTTCTTGCTTAGAAAAAGATATGATATTTTATGACTTTGGGCAGTGTGTTTATATCTGCTTGACGCTTTATTTTGAGACACCAGTATTCACCCTTTACCGAAACAAAATCATTGATCAATTCAACCTGATAGACAGTTTATTTGAATTCCAAATGGCGGATGGCCTCATGGGTGAAGCCCCGATCCAAGACCTCGGGTGGAGAACGGGAAGAACCAGCGGTGGTTGTCCACGATTATGGAGATAGGGGAGCTGCTTGGATGAGCATGAAGTTTTTTTAGCTAGACGAGCATGAAGTTGGAAGGCTGGGAGATTGAAGGAGAAAATGAGGCATATCATGTTCGGCGCATACTGCACGGAATAAGGATATGCTAGTTAGGTATTTCCCAAAAGGCATATTACACAAGACAAGGGAAGGTTCTAGAACCTGTCCGGAACCACTTTAATCTTTTTTTTCTACTGGTTTTCTTTCACCATTAAAGAGAAACTTGCCCAACATAGTCTGAGATGGTTTAGACATATTCAACGTAGGCCTCCAGAAGCTCCGATTCATAGCGGACGACTAAAGCATGCGGATAATGTCAAGAGAGGTTGGGGTAGACCAAATTTGACATGGGAGGAGTCCGTTAAGAGAGACCTGAAGGATTGGAGTATCACCAAAGAACTAGCTATTGGCAGGGGTATGTGGAAACTTGCTATCCATGTGCGAGAGCCATGAGTTGGTCGCGAGATCTTATGGGTTCCGCCTCTAGCCTACCCCAACTTGTTTGAGACTAAATGCTTTGTTGTTGTTGTTGTCGTTGTTGTTGTTGTTGTTGTTGTTGTTGTTGTTGTTGTTGTTGTTGTTGTTGTTGTTGTTGTTGTTGTCTTTCTTTGTGGGGTTTTCTTTTTCTTTTTCCCATTTTTTGAAATTGTGGAACGTTTTTGAAATTTGCATTTTAATCCATGATTTTCTTTAAAAAAAATCAAAGAGATGGCGCCACACATTACTTGACTGCTCATCTTCAAGATCAATGTGGGCTTGGGCAAACGAAGAGATGGTGGGGCACATGATAATTACCAGAGAAGAAAATGCAAAGTTATGGCTGTTGACCATGCATGACTCTTTACCACATGTGGCTTTTATGTATATGGTTGTGACTTTGTAGGCGATATGGAACGCGGGTCGGAATCAATCTACGAACATGTGTTTCAGCCACCCATGTCAACACATATGTTCATCAAGCGCTTCATCGCAGAGCTTGAGGCTCTTGCTCCAACATCATCAGCTACCAGGCCTCCCAAGATGGCGAGACAACCCTGGATTCATCCACCTCTGGGAATCGCTAAATGTAATGTCGATGGAGCTACTTCTGTGCATGGAGATCGAGGAGCATTTGTTACTGTTTGTCGGAATGAATATGGAAAATATTTAGGGTCTTCTTCGGTCACCTGGACACGAATTTCAGACCCGATGGTTCTGGAGGCCTTAGCAGTGCGGGAAGCTTTGGCCACAGCTAATGATTTAATGCTTAAAAATATTCTGGTCTCATCGGATTGTCTCCAGGTAATTAATGATGTAAAGGCAAACACTGGAGATGCACATCAAGCTATTGTAAGGGAGATAAGAATTCATGCACAAGATTTCGAGGAGTGCAATTTCATTCAAAAAAGTAGATCAAGGAATCATGAAGCTGGTAGTTTAGCAAAATATTCTTTGCACTTAGATACTGGTAGACATACGTGGCTACTTATGCCGCATGACTCTGTAATCATTCCTCCGAAACTAGTTGATCAATAAAGTTTTTGTTCCCTCAAAATAATAACTTGCTGGTCGGCTGGTTGACCAATTGACCGTTGAGTTTATAAAAAAGTTCATAAATGTAAAAAAACGTCAAATGAAAATAATTCACTTTTTTAAACTAGTCACAAAATTAGGAAAAAAATAAACAAATATCATTAATTTGAAAAATTCATGACATTTGTAAAAGTTAACAATCTTTTTAACAAACAAGAAAATTCAGATTCAAATAATTTGAAAAGGATTCTAAAAACCAAGTTTTATTATTTTTCACGAATTTGCCAAAAAGTAAAGAGATAAAATTTCATAAAATTTGAAAATGTTTATGAATTTTAAAAAAAATCATTAAACTTGAAAAAGTCCATAAACTTTGAGAAAGCTCACTCAGATTTTTAGAAAGTTAAGAAAAATATTCAGCGCTAAAAGCCCAAGCACTTGAAATAGTTTCCACGCTAAAAAATCAGGAATTTGGAAATTCTTTAAAGAAAAATCAAACAAAAAGGATAAAACTAAACATGAAATAAAAAGAACAAAAAGAATAAAAATGAGAAAAAAAAGGAATAACAGAAACCAAGGGAAAAACTAAACAGGAAACCGGGAAATACCTCAGTAGAAAACATAAAAAAAGGAAGTATATTGGCCGACCCGCAATTACACCAGGCGTATAGTGGGGTGTCTGCTCCGTACGAAATTGTCTACCAGCATCGCTAAAGGCGCCGAATAGGCATTGGCGTCGGAAACGCTCCTTCGCGAGCGAGCGTCGCAACGAGCGACCCCTTTTCCTCAGAGAGGTCGTATGTGTCACATTTTGCGGCAAATTGCCGCCATATCGCACAGGGGCGCCACCGAGTGGGCCGGCCCATTAGCAGCACTGTAGCGAGCGAACAAACGCGGTGTAGCTAAAGAATAGAGCGCCGCCTTGGGGGATCGAAGTCGCCACCTCTGGATACTGAATGCCTCTCATCAGCCACTCGAGCTGACAGCACATTGGTGATTGTTGTACACCGCGGATTCTAAAAGCACTACGGGAGGGGCAGCTCAAAGATGTACTGTAGCGACCGGACCGTGTACTGTAACGACACGAACAAGCCAAGGTAGAGTTTTTTAGAAGCTCAAAATCTTTCTTTTCTAAATGTAAACATTTTCTTAGAACACAAATAAATTTTTGAATTTCAAACATTTTTCAAAAAAGATCTACAAAAATTAGAAACCATAAAAGTGTTTTGAATTTGTGAACAACTTTTTTTGAAAACCGAACATTTTTTAAATTCCGAATTAATTTGAAAGCTTAACATTATTTGTAACTACCCGAACAATTTTTGAATTTGTGAACAAATTTTGAAAAACGAGCACATTGTTTGAAATTGTGAACAAAATTTTGAAACC